TATATATATATATATATATATATATATATATATATATATATATTCTTTTTCTTTAAACCGTTCCTTGCACTTATCACACCATTGAGTTTTATTTCAACTATCTTCCAAATTATTAATCTTATTTTATCAACTGAACTCTACTCATTTTATTCCTATATCAATGTTTACTTGTTCCTAGCCCTTTGAACTGTTGTCACAATGTTCTTTCATCACATAAGGTATATATTTACAATATTCAGTCCATTCAATTTATTTTCACCTTTACTATACTATACTAGTATGTCTTCAATATAACTTCCAATGAAACCCTCTCATATAAGTAATTTAAACCCATTATGTAATTATGATTTTCAATATCACAGGTTGTAAGCAACTGATGAGAACCGACGAAATAAAAATGAATCCATGCTATTCTGCTAGAATGTTTGTTCTTGCTCTTTCCAATACTGAAACTGTCGTAAAAAAATTAAGAAACTTATCGAATTGATAATTCAAACTGAAAAACCAGTACACATTAATACAGAAGTAATGTTATTGTATAGTAACATATTTAACAGAAATACTATTTGTTAAATAGGAGTGAAGGACAAATAATCGTGTATCTTTAGTGGTCCAACGACCTTGAGATTACAGGTATCAGGATTTCAACCACTAGGGAATTGCCAGATTAAACTCTGCCTTATTTACTTCGATTTAGATAGACAAGTAGTATCGCTACTATTCATGATGAAAATAGTGATAGCTCAAAGCCGAGGATATAAACCCATAATTATTAAACGAGTTATTTGCACTAAACTAATTAACTTTAACTGGAAATGTAGCTCAGTGGCTATGGAGCCCCACTTATAACCAATCATTAACAGGTTTAAACACCCTCCATCCACCCTGATTTAGGAAACTAAGTATTACCACTAGACCTTTATATATTGATTTATAGAAATCAAAACTGTGTTTAAAAAAATCACAAACAGCCTAAATAGTATATAAAAAGTGAATTTAAATCGTTCAATGAACATAAAAATCTAGACGGTTTTATTATTTCAAAGTAAGCATTATCTTAGTACTCAAGCGTCTAAAGAATTAAAAAAAATAGAATTTGGACACAGGAAGCGAAATTATCAGGATGTTGATAACTGGTTTTTAATCAACAATATACTACATAATATTTGAAATTTTAGCCTAGGAGAAATCCAACCTATTGATTGCTTTCGAAATCAGCTGATAGCTCACGGATTAAATTCAAACGACCTTATCAAACTACTTAAATTGTTAAAAGTACGATATTTTATTATAGAAATTTGTTTCCAAGACATGAGTAAGTTGTCATTGGGTTCTACAATTCTCTGTGAGGATTAAAAATCTGAGGAAGCAATTGATTTAAACGAGAATCCATTTTGATAGATTGAGATAACAAACTTAGGGTCTTTCGTAGATCTGGAAATGACCAGCGTGAAACCTATACTTGGAACCGCCTGTACAATGATATTGTGGGAATAACATCAGTAATAAATGCAGATCACATACACTTAAAGGAATAAGTAAATGATCAGAAACAATTTATCAAGCAACTTAAACAAGTGGCTAAATTACAACTGAATAGATAGTAGTTGATCAGCACAAAGAACTAGACAAACATTAGTCGCTACTCAACCCTATAAGCCATCAGTCATCCCCAAAACCGCTTATTGGTAACATCTCAGACTGTAAAGCTGAGTGACACAGGTTCAAGTACCGATGAGAGCATCAGCTCCCCTAAAAGTGAAGATACACCCTGAAGAGTGTCAAAATACATAAGACTCAAGTAGGACAGGGTTGCTTACCAACTGATACAATTACTAAAATCAACAAATAAAACGTTTGTCTAAAGATTACGTAGTATACTAAATAATATGGATTAAGACACTTCTAGAAAATAAACGATTTAACAACACTAGGAAAACTAATAATTACAACTAACTGTATCCATAGTTTGATACCTCGATTTAGTCAAACATCGATCAAACGACAAATGCACGTCAATGACCGAGATTTACCTTCCTTTCCTATGGAATAAGACACACAGAATTGGTTGGAAATATGACTCGATCTCCTAAAGGATAAATGTATATAGATACATATGGATGTACAGATATATCTTGATTCGATTTAAACAATACAACTCACTTTTCACTCAAGTAGCTAGTTTGAGGTTGCGCATAGGATGCTTGAGTACTCGTATCAGAATCGGACAGCGTACAGCAAAACATAATTATCGATATAAATCACATTTCCAACTCCGAATTTATGGTTAACCGTTTCTAACTAAATTAATAACGAACCTCTTGGCCCTCATTAAACTGTCTAGAAAGTTGAATGTGACATTATCAATAACGCTTTTGCCATAAAACAAAACCGCTGGAATGATAACTTAATTGAAACAGCTTATTACCTATTTCATTACGATAGAGCATAAGAATTATTCTAATCTCCAATAATAGTCTACTATTGATCCGTGAACAGGTCTAATATATTTTAATCTGTTGCATGTGAGTAGTAGCTAAACATCTAAAAAATACGAAGTACATGTTGACGAAGAACTACGCAACTATTTCAACGTAGTAAAATATGACAACTGATCATTGAAATCAGTTAAATGACTTTTACATTCCGTCAAAAAACTTAGCCTAACCCCTAAAGTGCTTAGGTATCTTTAGTGTTTACTAATGATACGATGCTCAAAGACTAGGCCTAACAGTCAGGTCTCAATTGACTGGAGAATGAGTGACCTACTAGCCGATTCCCTTAGATCGCCTATGACGTTTTATCATGCTTATTTTGCGTTTATATTCTGTATATAAACATGTTATTTTAATACAGAAAAAACATTGATGTGAATAGTGATATTGTCTTCGATTTTCAAACATTCGTGGCTTTAAGCCAATAACACATTCTAGTGAACAGATTTCTCTCGCCCACACCATATCATTGCATTCATCTACGATAAGTATTCTATATAGTGATTTTGACAGTTGAAAGTCCGCTCATCAATCATCAAAAGGCTTTCTTCATAACAACTAAGTGTAGATGGACAGAAAAATGTAGGCAAAAGCTGATTAAACTGTTGGCGAGACCATAATTCATGGACGAACCAATCAGATTCTGGATGAAAGGTCTCGAATTTCAGCGTAAAATTCATTCACACATTTGTCCAAAAAGAGTTTTGGCATTTTAGCTGGTGTCAGTTCTTAATGAAAACCCTAAGTCTGATTAATAGCCATCAATCGTAAATCACAATCCTTGTTCTTCACACTGCTTTATGACCCTCATTTAGCCCTAGTAAGTGGCTGAACGTTCTAAAGGTCACCCTAGCGTCACCCAAAAGTCGTTCATAAATTACAGTCTCACAAAACTGTTTCTTAATTATCTTTATTCATAACAAAAATTACAGATTCCAAACGTGTGTCACTACTGAATCATACTTTTCATGAGGGTTAAAAATAATAAAACAATCATTACCGAATGAAAGTTGAAATTTATTATGACCAACAGCCACCCCCAAATGCCCTGGTACGGTCGAGAGTGAGGAAAGTCCACTCTCCCTCTCGAAATGCCCTCACGTGGCCACGCGCATATAGCCTCTGCCAGAGAAGTCCTACTCACTGCCTTCTCGTGACGGGGGTGTTGTTTACGAAAGTGAGAGGACGAAAAGCGAATGTCCGGCGCTTTAACCAGGTTGGTGGACATGGAGATTCCACCTAGGGGAGTTGGAAAACCCTGATTCCAAACCAATGGTGCACATGGGCTGGCTCCAGTATCCTGAAGGAACAAATGGCGTATGAACCAATCGTTGGTCACCGGCTTCCACGGGAATGCATCTCCTTACGATGTTCCACTGCCTTGTGGATGAGACCTTCAGGTCGAAGGCTCCGGGTGTGGCCCCCTAAGAAAACCACCTGCTTCGGTTTTGGCACGCGAGCAGTATCACAGCCCTCAAACATATCAAATGAGATTTGTGTGGCGCATATGTATTTGGTGCCTCTTTGTACGAATATCTATGTGTTAAAATAAAAATGATGATAAAAAATGACCAACAGCCAATGAGACTAGGGATATGTAATATATGTTAGTTTCATGAGTGAATGAAGGTTCTCAGTTTCATCAACCGGTAAGCAGTCTTTACCTAATATCCTACGTTTAACCTCAGTACTGATCAATTGGTGGCTCCATGATACATGAACAATGTCTTGAATACACATACGATTAAATATTTGTAACTTGTGAACGTTCTTTACATTCCAATGCCGTTTTAAATCCATGAAGCGAAACAGAGCGAATTGTCGTATAGTATACACGTCCTTTGATTGGTAGATGGGAGTTTCATCTACGCAAGTGGAGCATGTTTGTAAAAGCCAAAGGAACGTTCTAAATCCGCACCAAGACTTTTTCAGACACCATGCCATCAGTGCTACAGACTCACAATGTATGGGAAATGCTCATAGCAATCAAATATTTCATTTTATATAATGATTCTAGGCGTTAGTGCAGATCAGTCCTGAGAAAACATTTTGTATTTAAAGGGAGAGAGACGCAATTTAAATTTCTTGTAAGGTTTTTCAAGACGTTTAGAAGACCGAATTTCGTCAACGTATTTAAACAGGACAATGTCATCTAAGTACTCCAAGTAGACGAGTGAATCTCCAAGACGAAGACTGATCCCTAAAAAGCTAAGTAAAGAAAGTATAATATCTAGGACATTCGTGACGAGTTAAGTCAAAAACGGGGATAATAAGTAAACCTGACTAATACCACTTGAGATTGATAACTCTGATGACTATTTACCACCATTCCTGATTAAATCCGTAATGTCCAAACAATGAGCCTATACAAGGCTTGTATACCTTTGAGGCACAACCTTTTAATGAAAAACACAAAATCTTCCAATTAAAGACTTCGGATACCACTTATGTTATATCAACATTCCAAAACCTGGTGACGAGTGAACATAAATTTACAAGTAAAAATTAAATTTAAATGGTTATATTTTTACACAAAAAAAGAAAATATATTAATCAGTGCTATGAATGGTTACTACAAATGTACAAACGGTGAGCCGAAATATTACTAAGGTTCAGGAAAGCGTCTTAGTAGTTCAGTAATTTGTTTTGATGATAGTCGATCAAATGATTTACTTGACTTGTCAGAAGGCGATACGACTCCTGACTTTTGCATATCCTTATTTGCTCTCCGCTTATTCTAAATAAAAAACCGATAAATTAAATCCGGTATGGTTGAAACAAACCTCCGTTATATGGACGCATTTATTGAATGTGTCTATCATTTGTGTACAAGGACGTTGATCAAAATCACTTTCTTTCAAGCAAGCTAACATTGATAACATTTCTTCGATACAAACAGCCCCTTAAATAAAAAGGCAAGACGGTTATAGACATTGCAACAATGATTTACTTTTTGTCCTATCACCTTTTCCAATCACTGAATCTTTAAGAACTGGAGTCCTGCGATAATCATACTTATAGTATTGAAGGTCCGGAAAATGAGTTGTAGAGCGTTTATAAAGTTTGCTGCATGTATCTGTCAACTTCATGTGAAGATTAAATAAACTGCAAACAACCAAAAGAAGACAACAAAATTGTTGATACTTATTTTAATTTAATATCAAAACTGTCATGACTGAAACCGTTATTTGCAGTAAAAGAATATAGTGAACAACCTTTCGTTTCCTTACTTTAGTGATGTGGAATGTCTGAATGCAGAAAGCATGCATGAAATTTGAATACTGGTTTATCGACGTCTAGAAGCAGTGATGGTGTATAGTGAAATGATCAAGTGAGTAAATAAATAAATTAATTCCTCAGCTGGTGGACATTCGTTAATTGAGGCGACTGGGACATTTTAAGCATGTAGAACTGCAGTCTGAGTTGTTATTGTAGGCGTTAGAAGGATTGAGAACATTAATTGGCAAGGATATGTTAATAACCACTAGAGTATATAACTGCGAATAAAACTATAATTTACGGAATTAGCATATGATGTAGGACGGCAAATTTCGGGTTTAGGAGAAAACTTTATCTATCCGTATGGGTAAATAGCATTTCGGTATTCCAGCTGTTGTCAGTATGTAATGAAAACCCTAGCATCTATTTTTTGCTTCTAATTCTAATTCTTGACACTAATTTATGACCCTCTGTAGACCCTAGTGCGTGAGATTTTTCAGGATCAATAGCACCGCTTAAATCTCATCGTATTGTACAATAAATACTATGGCTAACAAAAATGAATACTAATACCCATGCAAAACACTTTTTTACATGATACGGTGTTACTTTTAGGTAAATATATCTCATTGAAGACCTAGAATAATAAACACCAACACTGTAATTCCAGATTCAATAATCATTCGGCATAAATTAGCGCCCACATAGATGTTGAATAAACATTGGCCGAAACCCCGTAATACTGGCCTTGACGACAATAAATAGAGGCTGATTATGTTATTTTTCATGCTGCGTTATCTTAAATGATCAAAAAATCCGCAACCTTGCTCGTATTAGGTGCAAATTTTTGAAGTCTTAACACATGGATATTAACCGACTGACAACACTCGTTTATTTGCGTCAAATCGTTCAGCAGTGATTTAACAGCAGGTGTGTTGAATTCATGCTTTTATATACTTTGACGTAATTAAGAATATTCAATCTACAAGCAAACCCACAACACGAGATCAAATGCAACCTTGAGAGACGCAAGCGTTTACATCCGCTCCTTAGAAATGGTTCAAATGGTTCAAATGGTTGTGGACGGAATAGAAGAAGCTTTCGCTTAACAGGCTTCCGTGTCTAGTAGCAGGGGATCACCAAATCCTCCAGGCAGGAACCTAGGTATGTTAACAATAAAAAAGGAAAAGAAATTGGTAAATCATGTGATGCTGTCCTTGGTCCTTAAGAATAGGTCAAGTTGCCTCTTGAAGGACTCCTGAGAAGTCGCTTGGACTAGCTCGGCCGGCAGCGAATTCCAGCTTTTGACAACTCTTAAGGAGTAGAAGTTGTGTCTACAGTCCGTTCTGCCATGTTGTGTCTCCAGTTTTTGGGTGTTACCTCTTAGGTTAGTGCTGGAACTAAGCTTAAGTAGGTGTTTGAGAGGATGTCCAGAAGTGTTAAGGATACTATAAGCCATCGGGTCACCTCTAATGCGTCTTTACTTTAATGGGTAAAGGTTCAGTGAATGAAGGCGCTATTCGTAAGGTTTAAATTTGAGTCCTCGAACTGATTTCGTGGCTCGCCGTTGAATGCACTCCAGGGTGTCCTTATCCTTTTGAAGTGAGGGGGGAGTACTATGTTTCCGTACTCTAAATGGGGACGGATAAAACTATTGAAGATTATATGGAAAGTTCTTCCGTCAAACTGGCCAAAAATGCGCTTCAATGTTACCAGTGCAAGGTTTGCTCGGAAGGCATTTTTGTCACAGTTAGTGTAAGACTTCAAATCATGGGGCATCAGGACTCCTAAATCTTTTTCGACTTGGGATACTACTAGAGAGGAGTTTCCTAAGTTGTAACTGTAGCTTGCGACATGTCGCAGATGGACTACTTTACACTTTGAAGTGTTAAAGGTAAGTCCGTTATCGTCTGCCCAACTTTGAAGTCGAGTCAGATCCTCCTGAAGTGCCTGTATATCGTCTAGGTTGCGTATCTCTCTCCAAAGTTCCACGTCGTCTGACGTTACCTGTTGAGGAAGATCATTTATGTAGATCAAGAAGAGAAGAGGCCCTAGTACCGAGCCCTGGGGGACCCCACTAGGACATTCCATAGCCTGAGATAAAGTGAAATTAACTCTAACCTTAAAGTATCGATTTTTTAGGTATGAAGTAAGCCAATCGATTAGAGGTGGTTTGATACCTAGTCGTTTGAGCTTATTGATAAGACACAAGTAGTTAACCTTATCAAAAGCTTTTGAGAAATCAAGGTAAATGATATCAACCTTTCCCTTGTGATCGAGGATGCTTGTCCATCTGTCCACCGCAGTCAGCAGGTTGGTTATACAAGAGTAACCCTATCTGAAACCATGCTGTTGGGGTGAGAAGAAATTTAAGGACAGTAGATAGTCGTTTAAACCGTCGCATATCAGGGACTCTATGAGTTTTGAAGGTAATGACAGAAGAGCCACCGGCCGATAACTTGAAGGTTCATTGCGTCGACCACCATTGAAAATTGGAGTGATGTGAGCCAACTTCCAATTTTCCGGTAATTTGCCTCGGCTTAGCGTTGCCAAGATTGAGGCTGCCTCTCTCAGTATGGCAGGATGAACCATATCCGGGCCAGAAGAAGTATCTAGTCTTAAGTGCTGCAATTTACGGAACACCAAGTCAGCGCTTAGGTTCACTTTAGAGAGTCCTGTGGAATTGCAGATGAAACTGTCGTCAGTAAAGTTGATGTCAACCGGTTGAAATGTTTGAGAGTAATGTGCCGCCAGAAGGTTAGCGGCGTCGCCATCGTTGTTGGTCGGGCCGTTAAGACCTAGCAGTTGGGAAACTCCAGTTTTGGCTTGACGAAGAGAGGCTGCATAACGGAATAAGCTTTTCAGATTAGAGACAAATTTGTCCATAAGCTTTGTCTCGTACTGAAGCCTATCTTCTCTTATAGCCTTTGTGCATATGTTCCTGATATGTTTATATTGTCTATACACTCCGTCGTTATCAGTTCGTTTGTATTCCGCCCAACAGTGCTTTTTGCGGCTTAGTAGGCGAAGGGTACGGTTCTTGATTATTGTAGGTGGCTTGGAGCTTTTGGGAACCGTTTGAGGAACTGAATGTTTTGTAGCACATAAGAGCGTGTGCAGTAAGAAATCCCAATGACCGTCCACATCGAGTTGAGGGTGAACATCCCAAACCACCTGTTGTAGATAGTCGTGTAGAGCTGGCACATTCAACCGTTTAAAATTCCAACGCAAGTTATTGGTGGGGTATCTTAGCTTAGTTTTGCTGACAAAGCTGATGGCTATGACAGCATGATCGCTCTTTCCCAGAGGAGCCAGGATTGAGAGGTTGTCAACTAGGAATCCTTCGTTTGTGAATACACAGCCTAAGCGCGATGGTGTCTGACTGTTTCTCCAACGAGTTGCCGACCTCACATTTTCGTACAATCCCAGGTCATCGATGGGGTTGAAGAATCAAGCTTCAGTTGAAATGTCGCCTCCAGTATTCGTGTGTTCCGTGAAGTTGACTCTAGGGAGATTAAAGTCCCCTAGAATCAGAATGTGTGTGAAACCCAGACGAGTAGAGCGGGATAGTCCTTCCAGCATACGACTACCGTACTCGATGTCAGCAGTTGGCTTCCTGTAAATGACTCCGACTAGACACCTCGAAGTACTTGACAATCTTACCGAGCACCATATAGATTCCTCAAGATTGTTAAACTCGAGGTTGTGAACTTGATACACCTCCAAGCAAGAACGTATGTTAACAGCTACTCCGCCCCCATACCCTGATTTCCTGTCATTGCGGAATAAAGACATCCCAGGTAATGCTAGCTCATAGTCCGAGAACTGAGAAGATATCCAGGTTTCAGACATTCCTATCAGATGGGCCTTGTTAGCATTGCTAAGTTCACGCAGTTCATCCAATTTGTTTGGTAGACTCGCGGCGTTCATTTATTAGCAGTTCATGCATTCAATTTGGAACGCATGAGCTTCTTCCTGTTTGTCTGTATGAGCCTTACGTGAATGGACAGGTAGTCCACCTATATGAGGTTTGTCGAGGTGGTAGGCCCTGTCCTTTACACGTTTTTTTTATCGTCCAGACAGTCAACAAGTGAAATGGTCAGCTCCAACTTGCCTTTGTGTTTGGTCCTAGCTGCGTATGGCCTAGCCGGGTGCATGTGGATTCCAGGTGGCAGTCGACCTCTGTTGGCACGAAATGCTTCCAGAGTTGCAGCCGCCATATGGGAAGATGGGAAGGTTATTTTCATTAGACGGGGTCCAGAATCACCGTCCTTCTTGGCTAGTCTCATCACATGCTGAGTCAGTATGTTTTTGGGCCTCAAGGACTGTTTGATGAATTTCCATTCCCTAATGTCAGTCTTTGATTGAGTAGGGTCCGTATTTTCCGGTATACCTTGCACGATTATATTCCTCCCGCGGAAAAACTGGTGGCGAGTTTCTTTGGGGATGTTCCGGATGAGATTGCGCTCAGAATACGGTATGTCAGGCAGTTTTCTTACATTCCCATCTGATTTCAGTGAGTGGCTGGCTAGTAAGACATCCTCTACGTCGGTAGCATTCTTAAGTGTTACACGAAGTAGCCCCGGGTGATTTTGATGCTTAGATTCCTTTCCCCGAATGAGCCATGTGACTGTCAAAGGCTCTATTCTTGGAAGTTCAAGTTTCTTGTTCAATTCTCCCCAGAGCGTCATATCATTTTTGTCCTGCAAACTGAGAGGAAGGTCAGGGTTGTCTTTGAAGTTCATGACTATGAGAGACTCATCACGAACCGTTATTGTCGTCCCAGGTTTCCCGGTGCGTTCAGGTTTAGCACCTCTTTGTTTGGGGGTCAGAGCACGTTTATGAATCCTTGGCTCTTTTATCACCGGACGGACAATCTTGGGGGTAGACTGTGCGACCAGATCACCAGTTGACTTCCGTTCAACATCTGGGATGTTCAACTTAGACTGTGATGCCTGGCCTTTTTTTAGCTCTTTTGACATGGATTCAATCACCTACAGAGGTTTTGGGAACCACTGTCGCATTCAAGGACCTTGAGCTGTGAGAGCCGAGTTTGCCGAGGGAGCCGGGTACCGTCGTCGTAATCATGGTGCTGAGTTTCAGCGTGTCATCATTAATGCTGTTGCATGCTCCGTCGTTGGTAGACCTGTCGACATCTCTGTTCTCGTTTTCAATGCGCTCTCTTGTTTTTCTATCCATTTTTTAATTGTCTTTTCTTAAGTTTGCCGACAACTTGCTCTGCAGGCCTGTCAGTAGGACAATGATATTACTCAGCAAGACTGCAGCATCCGTGCTGCACGTAACACATTCCCATTTATGATCCGACTTGATGAGTCTGTTGTAAGCAGTTGCTGTGAGATCTGTGCACGCTTCGTGGAACCAACCTTTGCAGTTGTCGCTCTGCATGCCAGATATAGCAGCAAAACGGCATCCATGTCGTTTGCACGAATTTTTCATGACTGTATTGACGTAAACTGTGTTGTAGATGCTAGCAAAAGCTTAGAACCTTAAAAAATACACTAAAAAGCACACTGAAAACGGACAAATGAAAAAAACCGAATTGTAAGCTGAGGCAAAACCAAAGTTAACTATTAAATGGGGTGAAACTCAAAAAAAGTAATCTAACGAACGTGTAGCTCAGGATAGATTTTTTGGTCAGAAATGGTACTTCTGTTACATAAGAACACAGCAAAAGTTTGATAAATGCAAATCACGTTAGGGCTAAACTTCCCGTTCGAAAAGAGCGCTCAGCTGAAGACAATGTCGATATCCAAAATCGTTATGAAAAACAAGTACAAACCCGACGACTACTTTCCTTTCACATGCGTTTGCATGTAGTTTCGGGCCTTCAGTGGTTTGTTCTGTCGTGATAGTCTGTCCAATCAACCCCACTAGTCAGAATCACCTCGACGATTTACTGTGATCCGGAAATTTAAAAAAGCTTTGTAATCATAATAAAATGCCGTACCAGTCCTTCGCTGTGTGATGTAAATCCCATTACGTTTATATTCAGCTTTTCCATTTTGTTTTTACAAGCTGTG